TGCCAGGCAGGGGCGTAAGCGCGCGGCTGTGCAGGGGGCGTGAGCCCCTGGCTGGGGTGGGGGGGCCGCCGGAGCAGGGGGCCGGGCCATTCCCGGTGCGCGGCTGCGCAGGGGGCATGAGCCCCCGGGCCGCGGGGCCCTGCCAGAGCGGGGCCGGGCCCAAAACCTCGGGTTTTTAACCAGAAAACCAGGAAGAGGATGTGACTTCTGAGACCTAGAAGGTGTCAGGGATAGAGACAAGGAAGCTCAAGAATCTCTCATAAGTTATTTGTGCAATCCTTGGCTCACCCTGATTTTATTTTATTTTATTTATTTTTTAAATCATTTATTTATTTTTACATTTTCCCACACACATTTACTTTACATATTAAAAAATTTTTGTTCATACTCCATAGTTCTTGATGGTTAATAAACAACATTCAAAATTTCAAAAAACTGAATTTTAAAGATAATGTTCGAAATATTTGTTACAATTTTGTTTGTGATTCTATAACAACAGAGACAGAATGGTTTTAAATATTTTTGAGAACTTTTTTTTTTTTTTTTTGGACGGGTTTTCGCGATAGGGCACATGCGCTAGACAGAGACATAGAGACAGAAAGTGAGAACTCACCCCCCAGGGGGGATGGTCACGCTATAATCCCTTCTCTCCATTCTCCTCTCGGGATCTTGGGCATGCACGCACATGCGCCCGGTGTGAGTTTTAAGCCACCGGGTCCGGGATGCCAACCGTGGTCGACTACGTGGGAGTCCAGCGACATAGCCATTACGCTAACTGCTGGTTCCCAACATATTTACATCTCAAACTGTTGAAAGGCAAACACCCAGCACACATTCACACATAAACCTCCATTCAGCCCTGCCTACCAAGCACTCTGATATACCATCTGCTAGCGAATATCAGTCTCTCTGTCTTCCTTCAAAGACTTCCTCAAGATAATCCTCTGCTTGTGGTTGCTCTTTTGCAGTCTCTACTGATTACAATTCTGGGCTGGAAAAGTCCAGGTTATTTTATGGTACGAATTCTTTCATATAGCTTCTCTAATCCTCTCTGCCAGGCAGAACCGTTTATGGTGCTGGGTCATTTTTCCAAGAGCTTCTGTTCTTTTGCTTGAGATCTACCTTAGTTTCATAATTTTCTGGTTTAATCTTCAGCTATGACATTCCAGTCAAAACCCTGTCCAATAACGAGTATTTCTAATTTCTGATTCAAGGCAACAGGTATTATTGACCTTATGCAAATAACCATTCTGCCACAAAATAAGAATTGAAAGAAACAAACAAGAAAAACGTTTTAACAAATTGCTGAGTCTATCCACTGCTCAAAAGTAAGCAAAATCCTTAAATTGGGAAAACAAAACACAGTAAATAAAGAGACAGTAATGTTTTATTCAGAAGTCATGAAATTCTATTTCACCAGTTCAGTCTTATACTATTAATTTTTCTTCTGTTGAATTTGCAGCATTACTGTGGTTCGATCTTTCCATTTAAATTCTGGAAGTTAACATTCAATGTTATTATTGATATAATAGTATTAAATAGCATTAAG